AAGGAGAGAATGAGGAGGAATAAGGAAAAAGCTGAGATTAGTCGAAAAGTCATAACGTCACCAAATAGATAGTTTGCTGAAAAACACCAGTGTTCCATTTTGTTTCTGATTTTTTTGTCAAGGAAAAAAAGGTACGCGCCGCACGCCACGTACGTAATAAAGCTGGATATACAGGCAAACTTCATCAGTTTAATCAAACGAAAACAGCAGCGACTTAAACGCCTCATTCTCACAAATGATTCACGAAGCCTAATCTGAATATAACCTAAACCTCAACAATCTTGAAGTGTAAAGTTGAACGCTTCATATCACAGTACCACAATAAAAATTTGAGAGTAGATTACACGGTGAACGAGGTGACGACAGCACGCGCCTCACACCCATGTCATTTATTTTTCGCGCATGCGCTACTTCTTTTCTATTTTTTTGCATCTATTCTATAGACTACACCATAATATGACTAGACACGGCGAGGTTCATTGAATGGTTGAATATGCTCCTTTTTAGCGAAGGTTTTCTAAGCCCTACGAATTTCCCAATTGTGTTCATTCCTAGTTTTTCTTTATATTCTCACAACATTTATGAAGAAAGAATAGTAGAAGTAATTAAGACGTATAAAGGATAAAATACGAAGCATTGCGGCACGCATTCTACTTCCATTTGTACATTCGTAGTGGCGTTTGAATGCGATGTGGCCTATACAATGACTTGCGGGGGCCAGCCGATGTACAAGTCAGTGTTTTTATCCTCCCAGACAAGTCTGGTACCAATTAACCGACCCCGGAGGGATGGAAGGCTTGGTTGGCCCGGGCGACTCACGACCCAGGATTTGATCCCCGGACCGCTCGCGTGGTAAGCGTGCCACTTGCCACTACACCACTTCCGCCCTTTCAGACCTATACCTATGACAAAATATTTGTTACTGGAGCAACTGCGTCGAAAATTCTTTTGAGGTCCACTACACCAAAAGCAACTAAACATTGCCTGCTCGTTCCCATAACACGTAATCTGACCGACCTTTCTTATGTACCCGCCGATTTCTTACCGAAAACATTACAGAAAACATTTTGTCGCCTTCAAGTTTTGCGTATTTACAGCTCGGAGCCACAGATGTGAGGTGAACGACCGCAATTGCAAGATCGCTCCGGTCTCACGCGGTGAAAAAACCTACGACGGACGCTATGGTCAACGCGCCAATGAGCTTTCAAAAGCAATAATGTATCATCTTAATGAGGCAGTAGAAAAACAGCGCAGAACTCCTCAGATTCCACCGTGTTTAATAATCTGACGATGGCACCTCCAAATAAGAGAACAGAGAAAAATGAATAAATGTAAAAGATTCAAAGGAAGATTGCGGTGCCTTTTGAACGCAGAAAAAGGAGTTCCGCATTTCATAACTAGAGGTGCAACAGACGCAGAAATGCGGAATGATGGGACGCAAAGTGATGGGAAAAAACTATAAGAGTGCCTGATCTTCTTATAATAAAAGCATGAAGATTGTGAAGATCTTGTTTTGTTTTTCCGAAGATCGATACCTTTTTAATATGTGGCAAACATTTCACTTCATTCAGAATTGTGTAGATATTTGATGCGATTCGACATCAATTTGCAGGGAGGAGCGCATATACCAATCACTGTTTTTTTTTACTCATCGTCAGACAGGTCTGACACCAATTAACCAAAACCGGAGGGCTGAAGAGATGAAGGGTCTGGTAGCCTGGGTGACATTTTGCACTTGACCACAGGCATCAAGCGCGTGGAAGGCGTTAGCACATACGCTTACATCATTCCACCCACCACTTAGCCAAAATATCAACCTATTTCTAAAAAAAAAATTAGAAATTCAGCTTATTTTTTTTTGTTCATTGCAAAATCAAATCAAAATGCTAAGGCTGAATAAAGCGAACAGGCAACTATGCAAAACATTGAGAAAGAGGAGTGTATGTAAGTGAAGGTAGGTTTTCGATAATAGTTTTCTATTCGCATGCTCTTCACTGTGAAACTAGCCACCCGCCGCATCAATATTAATTCATACATGCTATTTGAAGAATACTTTTGGACTTTTTCTAGAGTTCCTGTCTAATATGAGAAAGTCCTCGGTAGTTTGAAAAGGGTCCTAATGCATGGAAAATGTCCGGATTAAAATGAAAAATGCCCTGAATCATTTGGAAAAAATATTGGAATTATATTGAAAAATGTCCTTTTTGAATGAAAATGGCACGATAAGCCGACCACAAGCCTCCAGCTCACGATTGACTAGCAAGCCCTGTCCGAAGCCGAACATCCCCTCGTTCTTCAAAAAATTCTTTAAAAAAGTGAAGCATATCGTTGGCCGTCCCTTTTAAAATACGGAACATTCTCCCTTCCGGTGAACATATTCAGAGAAATTAACAAGAGCAAAACTATTACACGTATGAAGGAAGTGCGTGAACAACATGAATTGTTTTGCAAGCCTTAGCACCTTGGAAAATGGCAAAAAGGTACATAAGGAGGAATATTGCCTGAGAAGAAAACCGGTAAACGATTAATTAAGGGAAATGCTCACAAGAAAAGGATAAATAACGCGAAGGAGAAACTAAGCAAACATTGAGGAGTGGAGAGTATGGATTTATCAGATGATGAACAATGATATAAAAGCTGAAGGCAAATGAATAGACGTCAAAAACCGGGAATAGGTTCAGAATGTATGACAACTCAAGTTCTTTCACCTTATCTAGTCTAGTCAAAAACGAAATACTATGATGTAAGTCTTCATTCAGCATATATCCAATCCTCATTTAGTCTAAACTCTTCTAATCACTATCACATGCGAGAGTAGCATTCGCGGTGCGGTATACATCTACTTTTTTATGATCAAATAGAGCCTCGAGTAGTTGGATCAGTACAGCAGGAAAGAATAAAGGAATAAACTTGAGAATGGAACACTAAGCTTAAGAACAATGTGCTCGGAGCCATGACACTGATATTGAACATGGAAACATATATCCAAGACCAAAAGTAATACTCTGAAAAGCTCACCTGCTTCGGCTGTTTCGGAATTCTCGTGTCATATGGCGCCATTTGTTGTTGTTGCTGTGAATGTTGAGGCGACATCATTTGGTAAGGAGGACATCCACCCTGAGCCATCATCTAAACTAGGTTATTGCAAGGGAATTCACCCAGCCTTCCACTTGCCAGCACTGAGCAAGCAACACCCAAAAAATTTCTCAGCTCTAATTTGTACACCTCATGGAGAAACAAATTACTAACCTGTTGTTGTGGTACTGCCTGGGCACCTGGAGGTTGCATTTGTGGTGGCGGCTGGCCAAGCGGCGGGGCAGCATAGGCTTGTTGTGGCGTCCGAGATGGATCCGGAGAAGGATACGCGGTCTGCTGATTTCCCATCACTGGCACGGGTGGTTGCTGTTGCGGTTGTTGCGGCTGAAGAGAAAGCTGTTGCGGAGCTGTTCCAGTTGGTGTCGTCTGGCCCTGATTTCGATTCTAAATACGCAATTTTGCGCACAGCAGCAGCACAAATAGACCAGCGACACCTAGAAAGTCAAGAAAAATCTCAATTTGACTAACCAGTACCTGTGTGGGTTGAGGATCTGGAGGCACCGATGCTCGATATGACGTCGAATTTGTACTTGTACTATTTACATTTGGGGCAGAACACGGGGGACTGTGGAATGAAGGTTGAAGCACAGATGGAACAGCCGCCGATTTCGAGTTGCAGTTGATCGCGTTGATGACCTGAATAGAAGATTAAGTCTATTGGCCTTTGACGTTACATAAGAAGTCATGACTGGCTAGGATGACCACGACGTCCGGAATTAGTTGAAATTTCGTGAAACTGCAGGTCTACAGCATGCTTTTATGCTTTTTTTTACGGTTTAAGGACTTCCTTCAACCGTTACACTAGCGATTCAGCGTTTGTAGAGCTGTCTTGGAGCTCTCACACATGCACATGATACAGCATCTCTGTCTTTTCCATTTGTATCTCTTCCTTGGAGAGGCGTAGTCCTAATATACCATACAAAGTAAATGTTTTTCCTCTAAACTCCCATCCTTTGGTTGACAGAAATGTGGTATACATTT